TATTTTCGGCTGTTGACTTACCTACATGGTCGATGATGAGCTTCGGATGACGTCATAAGCCAAACAACTTTCCCAAACGTCGGCCATTTTCGGCTTGTTTGCGAAACGAAACTGCCAACACGTTGTTGAACATCAACCATGTAGGTAAGTCAACAGTAGAATGCTGAAGTCCCGAAAGTAAAAGCTTCCACCATAGCCAAGTTACTAGTGGAGGGTCTCTTGTCTCTGGGAATACATGGTAATTCCTATCTCCGTTGTTGTTGTTGTTGTTGTTGTTGTTGTTGTTGTCATCGGATGACCGGGTACCTGTGTATCGCAAACAATCGATTATGTATCGAAAAAGTGACCCGGCGTCACACAGGAGTCTCGGAATTCGGGACATGGAAAATGCTTAAAAGTGGCGCCAGCTCTCCCAATTACATTACGACTCTATGTACTCTATGCTGTTACTGTAGACTATGGTCAGAGACAAGAGACCCTCCACTGGCCTCCTAACGACAGGTGGAAGATTTTTCTTTCGGGGATTCAACAGTTCCTTATGGACAATTATTAGGGAGCAACAGTCATGTCATCACCTCCATTTCGGCTGTTGACCTACCTACATGGTCGATGATGAGCTTCAGGTGACGTCATGAGTAGGGTAACCTCGAACTCCAGTGCTTATTGCTTTGCTTCTCGCTCTAGGAGCGATCAGCGAGGCAATAAGCGTCCAGCCCATATACAAACCAGAGGCTTCAAAGAGACTCATCGATTGCCCCGACTTAAACCGCTGGCCAATGAGAGGGCCAGGAAAGGCATCGATGAGTCTCTTTGAAGCCTCTAGTTTGTATGTGGGCTGGACGCTTCAAGCACTAGAGCTCGAGGTTACCCTAGTCATGAGCCAAACAAGTCTCGCAAACTTCGGCCATTTTCGACTTGTTTGCAAAACGAAACTGCCAACACGTTGTTAAACATCAACCATGTAGGTAAGTCAACAGTAGAATGCTGAAGTCCCGAAAGTAAAAGCTTCCACAATGGCCAAGATACTAGTGGAGGGTCTCTTGTCTCTGACTATGGTCGTTGGTCGGTCACATCACTGACAGACTTGCAGGAGGGCCCTACTTGCTGTGTGTGTGCAGTCGGCTTAAAAGCTTATCAACGTTAGAATAAACGTGTGTGAACGTGTGTGGTGATTGGTGATACTGTTCAACTGTTCAATAGGTGAAAAATATTGTTATCTACCGCAATACGATGAAGTGCTCTCATTGAAAATGGGCACCAGTGACTTTAGTAGTTTAAGTTAGCCACGATGGCGATTTTAACAACGATGAAACAGTTTTTTACCCTGGAGAACAATTGTATAATTCACTGCAACCAGTTAATTCCTCTAAGATTTTCCTCAGAAACAGAACTTAGTATATTTCTCTACTTCTCCGAAAAGAGACATCCCTTTTGGACCTCAAAATTCCTTAAACACTACTACTCCAAAGTATTATGATCCCCTCTCTTAAAATCATTGCAGAATGTTACCCAGAGATATAAAACAAACTATTCGTGCCTCCACAGTTTATAAGATTGGTAACTCAACGTTTAGGGTACAGCCTCAAACATGTTTTTTCTTCTCTTTTTTAGGTATTATAATTTTACTTCTACTTCTTTATTGGACTTTTCACTCACCCACTTATGGTCGGACAATTATTAAAAATTTAGAAGATGTCGCTCTCCCCACTGCCAAGAGTATCTTTAGTGGCAGTGTCTACAATCGAACATATCCCCTCTCTGCACCTTTCATAGTATCACATGGTATTAAATATAAAATTGCTATAATTAGTGATCTAGATGAAAATAGTAAGAAAGGTAATAAATGGATAAGTTACCTTAAGAAAGGATACTTAACATATAATCCTACAGATAAGCGTGCAAGTGTGGAGTGGGATAACGGTGACCCAGTTGTGCTGTCATCAGGATATTCTCTGAATGGGCGAGGCATGGAACTGTCTGAACTGGTTGTCTTCGATGGAAGGCTGCTATCAGTTGATGACAGAACCGGTATTATTTATGAAATTGACACGGTTCACAACAAGGTATACCCCAGGGTTCTCCTTCCAGATGGAAACGGTAAATCAATGAAAGGTAGGAATTTTTGTAGCATTTCCTTCTAGTAGTAATGCTCTTTAGGGGATGTCAGTGAAGAAACTCTAAGGAAACATAATGTTCACATTTAGCTGCACATATCTGTATTGCAATATTTTGAAATCTCTGATTACGCTCTATTTTTTAAGAGAAAACCAACTATAATGTCTCGTTCAAATTTTCTGGGCATATGTTTGAATGGGTGAAGAATATTGACAGTAAATTGCAAGAAGAACATTTGATATTTTCCTTTTGAAAAGATCAAATTCAAAGGGTATTTCACAATGTCACAATCAGAGATATACACTTTTTGACTTTGGCTAATGATCTATTTATAGTTTTATACATGAACAATACCCAAATCTATGGTGGGCCGTTAGTGCCTAAAAGGAAAAAAGTCCCTGTGAAAGAATTATCTCCCGTGTGGGATTTTCTTCCCTTCACGAGCGGGCTTTTGTCCCATGTGTGGGAATTTTTTTCCTTGCGTGTGATGTTTTTTTCTTGTGTGATTTTTTTTTTCTTGTGTGTGATTTTTTTTGTGTGTAATTTTTTTTTCTTGTTTGCTTTTTTCTTGTGTTTTTTTTTCTTGTGTGTGATTTTTTTTCTTGCGTGAGAGAATTTTTCGTGTCCTTACTTTTTTCTGCCTTAGTCAGATTTCATGGGTTTGCCAAATTTTGCAAATAAAAAAGAGCCGTGAACTGTGATCGATATGTTACGCACAGATCGTGTAATTGCCCAGTTCATGAATTGGGCAGATTTTTGCTCATTTCATGAAATGGGCAATGTTGTTGCCCAAATTGTGAAATGGCACCAAAATTGCCCATTTCATGAATTGGGGCGGGAAAAAATCGCCCAATTCACGCATTGGGCAAATAATGAAAAAAACGCTCTCACTCAATTTGTGTAATTGCCCAATTCGTGAACTGGGACATGAAAATATTGAAAGTAAGTATTGGAAAAAGTAGAAAGTAGGAAATGATATCATGCTAATGTAACTCACCTAATTGTTATTGGCGCAGGTCCTTTGCGGGTGGCAAGCGGAATTGCACTGCACTTTATTCTTGAAGCAACGGCACTGTAAGGTGCGACACATAGATTTTTTGCAGGAGCACCGCTGGTACCCCTGTCCACTTCCGACGGACATTTTCCGCACCAATTCCCGAACACTGAAACAATCTTGCGGCACATCCTCCACCTTCAGACCTTTATATTTCACAACTTCAAAAGCATTTCGCGCTAATCGTGTAGAAATAATTCAACATTTACTACCGATCTGGAACAAGCCATTCTCCTCCTTCATCACGATTCCAATAATATCGGCTGGATCGCCGCGACCTCGGTCAAATGTCGGCGTGCGACATTCAACCCAGTGACAGAACAACAGCAGAGTCTCAGCCTAACATTCCAACGACCTCAGAGGCATCAAAGGCTCATCCTGCAGTAACGCTTCGTCAAAAAGCGAGCGAAAGTTTAAAAACGCAGGCACAGAAAATGCTGACACGTGCGGAAAAGAAGTTAGCCAGAGTCAAAGTTGGGGATTGCGTTACCGTCCCCGTCTCCGAATTTGACCGAAGTCGCGGCGATCCAGCCAATATTATTGGGATCGTGATGAAGGAGGAGAATGGCTTGTTCCAGATCGGTAGTAAATGTGGAATTATTTCTACACGATTAGCGCGAAATGCTTTTGAAGTTGTGAAATATAAAGGTCTGAAGGTGGAGGATGTGCCGCAAGATTGTTTCAGTGTTCGGGAATTGGTGCGGAAAATGTCCGTCGGAAGTGGACAGGGGTACCAGCGGTGCTCCTGCAAAAAATCTATGTGTCGCACCTTACAGTGCCGTTGCTTCAAGAATAAAGTGCAGTGCAATTCCGCTTGCCACCCGCAAAGGACCTGCGCCAATAACAATTAGGTGAGTTACATTAGCATGATATCATTTCCTACTTTCTACTTTTTCCAATACTTACTTTCAATATTTTCATGTCCCAGTTCACGAATTGGGCAATTACACAAATTGAGTAAGAGCGTTTTTTTCATTATTTGCCCAATGCGTGAATTGGGCGATTTTTTCCCGCCCCAATTCATGAAATGGGCAATTTTGGTGCCATTTCACAATTTGGGCAACAACATTGCCCATTTCATGAAATGAGCAAAAATCTGCCCAATTCATGAACTGGGCAATTACACGATCTGTGCGTAACAGATATATCTCAAATAATCGATTAATCGATCGGGCTCGATCTGATCGACACCGGAGTTGACGAATACCTCGTCTACCTACTGCGTTGCCGCGTATAATTGTTAATTTCATAGAACACGGCCAACCATAGTATGGCCGTTCCCGTCACATTCATGCATGCCAACAGGTCCATTTCTACAGCCCTCCGGCCCCCCAACCAGGCACGTATACATATATGCATTCAAAAAGATTATGAAAATTTTTGAAATTTTAACTCTATTTGGACGCATTTCGGAGCTTCCGTGTCGCAGATTTTGTCGCGTATAATTGTATATGTATACGTGCCTGAGTGGGGGGCCGGAGGGCTGTAGAAATGGACCTGTTAGCACGCATGAATACGACGGGAACGGCCATACTATGGTTGGCCGTGTTCTATGAAATTAACAATTATACGCGGCAATGCTGTAGGTAGACGAGGTATTCGTCAACTCCGGTGTCGATCAGATCGAGCCCGATCGATTAATCGATTATTTGAGATATATCTGTTACGCACAGATCGTGTAATTGCCCAGTTCATGAATTGGGCAGATTTTTGCTCATTTCATGAAATGGGCAATGTTGTTGCCCAAATTGTGAAATGGCACCAAAATTGCCGAGGTATTCGTCAACTCCGGTGTCGATCAGATCGAGCCCGGTCGAATAATCGATTATTTGAGATATATGGATCGCAGTTCACGGCTCTTTTTTTATTTGCAAAATTTGGCAAACCCATGAAAAAAAAAATCACACAAGAAAAAACATCACACGCAAGAAAAAAAATCACACACAAGAAAAAAAAATCACACACAAAGAAAAAAATTCCCACACATGGGACAAAATCCCGCTCGTGAAGGGAAAAAAATCCTACACGGGAAATAATTCTCTCACAGGGATTTTTTTCCTTTTAGGCACAAACGGCCAACCCAGAGACAAGGCCAACCATACAAATCATTAATGCCCACATAATCTGTTAAAACAGCAGTAAGCACCATACAAATACATTAACTGCTATATCTGTTATTCCTAAGTTGGCAGCATGTTAGGCAAGGGAGTCTAGCCCCAGCCAGGTGTGGCAGCCTACAAGGCTTGTCATTTATTCTGAATAAGTGAATACACACCTCGCGTATGTCCTCCAGCGCTCCTCTTATTATTTCACGCTCTATCATTAACGAATTCCTCTCTATGACTAGCATTACATTAAACACTGTTAGGTGGCTGCAGATTGATTCATGTTGACCAATTTTGACTATCTTTAATGATAGTTTTTTCCCTAAAGTTCAGCATAAGCTGTCAGCTGATACCAGCAGGTTGAATGTGCATTGCTCAGAATGCTAGACTCCAACATTCCGTGTCCAGCCCACACTCCCATTGTTCATCCCGTCTTTGTATTCATTTACCAAAATCATGGAAGTTCGGATATTGATCTCTTTGAAGATTTTGTTAGCTTTTTATGCCACTCTCTTGCGATGCATTAAGTACACTGGATATTTAGCTGCCTGATATCATCATTTCCAGAATTCATGTCTGATCTGGGTCTTCAGTATCATCACGAAAACATCAAATACAATACTAGGAAAGGTATGAATTTGAGCATTTGAATTCATGAGCATTCATGAAAATTTCAGTCAAGACCAGATTATATGGAAAATATTTAATAGAAATTCATTGGCATGGTAATAGTATCAATATTTCACGTTAGTATCAGAGGTAATTTTTAATTTTAAACTGAAGTCAATTTAAGTTTCATTGAACAATTTTTTATCATGGATTCTAAAATTTAAGGTTTCAAGGCAGAATGGGCAACTGCAAAGGATGAAACATTGTATGTTGGAGGAATGGGCAAGGAATGGACCACATCAGAAGGAATACTTGAAAACTATGATCCACAGTGGATTAAGACAGTCTCACCAGCAGGAGAAGTGAAACACTTCAATTGGAGAGAGAATTACATTCGGTTGCGACGTGCCTTACAAGTAGAATTTCCAGGTACCATTGCCTTCTCTTTTTTTTCCACCCTTGGGTGCTCTGAAAAGTTTTCAGTTGAAGTTTCATACGTGATTTTTCACTTTTTTATTTTCCTTTTAGGAAAGGGCAAGGAATGGACCACATCAGAAGGAATACTTGAAAACTATGATCCACAGTGGATTAAGACAGTCTCACCAGCAGGAGAAGTGAAACACAGCTAGTTATAGTACAGCTAATAACTCATCATTACCAAAAAAGAAAGCTGCTTTAACTGCACCCTAAAATGTTAGCCTGCATATCAAGCAAGCCAAAATATTAGCACTATTCGTATGATTTCTGAGCCTCTTACTTTTGACACAGCTATTATGCAGGGCCGAATTTTGGTTTTGCCTCCTGGTGCCAAAAAATCCCCCCCCCCCTCTCCCGTATGTGCGGTGTCAGCTTGATCCGATGTTTAGGGATTTTCCAGAAGACTCTGTTACCCTCAACTTTATCTCCAACTCAATAGAAAATATTTTTCCATGTATATTTTGTAGTTATTCTACAGTTTTTCATCTTTTCTTGTCATCTTCTTTCATATCATTCTTCATCTATATTTTCATCTATATCGAAAATTTGAACTGAAGACACCCCCCCCCCTCCTGCCCCTCCCTTCAGTTGACTTAAGGGGTCACGTCAACTGAATTTATTCCAATCAAAAGAATTTCACTGCATACCTATAGCCGTTAATTGCCGCAAGAAATGCCTTTTTCGGGCGAAAGAATAGCAGATAAAAAGGTTGAAGGGCAAAAGTCAATGAAATTCTTTGTGTTTTAGTCTTGTCTATATTCGTAATTTTTTTTACACTACACTTTTACAGGAAGCATCCACTCTTTGGAGCTACCGTCAGTTGGTCTAACATGAGCCTCGGGGGTAACATGAGCTGTTTGGGGATTTTTTTTTCTCTTGCCTGTGGCAGCACAGTCGCGAAAGTAAACAACGAAAACAACAACATGATGTGATAGTGGCGTGTCTTGGCGGAATTTCAATGGTATAGAGACACATTTTTCCATTGATAAGAAATTTTTATAAATTATTTAGTTTTTAGAATTTTTTGCCCCTTTTTCTACCTCTGAAACTAACCTCCTTGAAAAGTGACTATCGATAATCACAGAATAATTTCGCCGGTCGCCGAACCTCACAAATACCTCCAACTTTCATGCCCATGCATTGGATTTTGAACATTTTAGTTTTTGACCGATTTTTTTTTGGAAAAACCAAAATTTTGGAAAAACCAAAATTTTGGAATGTTGGAGGTAACTTGAGCCACCCAATTTTCACAAGTCTTCCAGGAGCAATCTATACAGTAATGGTTTTCATGATACTTTCTTAGTAAAATTGGCATTCCTTTAGAGCATAAATCAACTCCTTCACATATCTTTCATATTTACTGTTCGGCTTTTTAAGACTTGTATACTATATATACTTATACAGGGTGTTCGAAAAGTCCCCTCCCCCCCCTCTAACTTTTGACCTAACTGAGGTAGAGATTTGAAACTTGGAGGGTGTTCCTAGATCAAAGGGAGCTACTTTTTGACCCCCCCAAAATCTTGGGGGGGCCCCATTTTGGGGGGGTTACGGACCCTAACTTTTAATTTTCAAATGGGA